GTGGTAGAGCTCCTGTCTAGCTAGCAGGGGGCCCTGAGTTCAAACCACAGTACCATAAATAAAACAAACAAAAAGAATGACGATGAGTTCCCAGATCTTTTCATTTGGTCCTCATCATCACTATTTGGGTTGGGATGAGAGGTACTGTTAGTGATCAAACTTAGAGTTTCTTACTTGCTAAGTATAGGCTTTACCAGTGAACTACAACCCTAGCCCCATCATCATCACTATTTTCACTCACTCCCATAGCAAACTCATAGTTCTTATCTGAATCAAAATAACAAACTTTCCATCTTATCTTGTTAGTAACGTAAATTATACGTACAAGAGGGTTTGACTATGGTGTTTCCATATATGCATATAATGTACTTTGATCAAATTTGCCCCTTCTATTATTCTTTTTAACCCTACTTGCCCAGTCCCCTTACCCAGTTCTGAGTGGGTTTCATTACGCTATTTTCATACATAAATGTACTTTGAGCATATGCACCTCTCTTTCCATTTCCCCACTCCTTCTGGTCTTCATCTTGAACCTTCTTGTTTATTCTTTAAAGGTGTTACTTCTTGCCTAATTCCTATAACATCAACTCAACGTTTCCTTCTCTACCATCAGGAAAATGCCAAATCCCTCATAACATTATATTATTTTCTTCTTGATTAGCTTTCTGACCACCTTTCCAGCTAATTTCTAGACTGATGTTAGGAAATTATTTTTTGGACTTTTATGTTCAAATCACATTGCACTAATCCTTTATGCTGTAACTGCTCTGTTTATAATAGTAACCATCTTCATTTTTATGCTTAGCTAACAACTACTTGTCTGTCAGGTTGCAGCTTAGATACCACTTCATCTTCAGAGCACTTTCTCTGACCCAGCAAGCCAAGGTGCAGAATCCTTCTAACTGCATTGTACTGTGTGCTCATAGCACTGTCTATACTGCACAATTGCTATTGTGTGGCCCCTCCATGGAATGCCTGGTGACATGAGTAATTGGATAAGAAATATTGACTCAACCCAGTAGGGATTAAATTTCTCTTCTTAGAAATCTAAACAAAGAAACAAGAAGCCAAGTGCCAGCTGGTGGTTGATTCTGTGAAGGAGAGGAACAGTGTACAATTTAAGATGACAATTACATATGATGACAATGAGCAAAGGAAGCCTTTGGAAAGATAAAGAACAGAAGAACTGGTATTGTGGGAAAAAAATTCCCTTAGTATTATTTACTGATCTCTGAAGTCTAGTATTTAAGTCCTTCTAATTCCATAAAAATTATATATTCTTAAAATATTCCTACATTTAGCATCCCCTTTGAACACACACTTACTTAACACACACACAACACACACACACACACACACACTTTTTCTTAGGTACCATTTTTACAAAGAAGACCTTTGATTGAGTATAGGTAGGAGGTATCCTTATACACTCTTTTAATGAGATAACATACTGCTCATGGAGAGCCAAAAGTAGGGGAGTTCTCTATCCTTTTATTCTTGGCAGTTGGTGTAGTGCCCAGCCTGCATTTTCACTTTGATCGGTGTTGTTGGAAAAAATGAGTGCAAGAATGAGTGATGGAAATGCCAGGCATAAGGGCACATACCTATAATCCTGTCTACTTAGGAGGCTGATGTAGGAGGAATGCTGTCTGTGGCTGGACTAAGCAAAGTTTAAACTCTGTCTGAAAAATAAGAAAAAAACTAAAGCAAAAAGGGGTAAGGGCATGATTCAAATGATAGAGTGCCTGAATTCAATCCCAAGTACCACCAGAAATAGAAAAATGAATGAATGAATACCTAGTTTACAGCCTTACAGACTATTTTTAAAGGCTGACTTAGGTTTAAAACAATTTTAAAAATTAAATAAAACTTTTTTCTTGTTCTTAATGATAACAGAAGCCTTCTCATCTATCAACATTAAATTAAAGAATAAAGGGGAAAATAAAGTTATGATAGAGTTTGATGTGAATCTCCAAAAGGCCTGACAGAATATTCAGGCTCCTAATACTTTGACTCCTACAAAAAAAAAAAAAGAAAAAGAAAAAGAAATGAGTGCAGGGCAGAGTTTTTAAGACTTCTTGTCAGGCCTCAATTTCTTAATCTGTTTTCCAATAAAAAACTTATATGAACTTGGCAGTTTGCAGGAAGATGATCTGTAAATTGTCTCAGTGAACTTTTTATGCATCTGCATGAGGATCTCAAATAAAGCAAAGAATACACTGGTAGAAAAAAAACAAAAAACAAAAACAAATTAACATTCCTTTAGCCTCTAGAGAAAGTCCTGATACATAGTCTTTACTTGTGCAATCTGCCCTCAGACTTACTTCTGTCTTAATATACTACAGAGAAACCTCACTTTGGAGATCCTTATTATTACTATTTTAAAATTCTGTATGCTTTTCTGCTGTACTGTGAAGTCCTAATTTTTATAAATCCAAACACTTATAAATCTCAAGTGCTATTAGCTATAAAAAGTTAAAATAATTCAAGAGGAAAAATGAAAAAATGTCATTTCAAACCAATAAAAGAAGTTATGTTTTGTTACTGTGGCTGTTTTAGTTGGGTCTATACTTGCTTGTTTTGCTATCTACAAAAACAAAACAAAACAAAACAAACAAAACCCCAGAGATTAACATCTAAAGGCAATATCCATTTTATTTTTAAGTCAAAGATTGATTTCACTAATATCAGCCTTTGCTATTTATATTTGGGTGTTATATTCTTACAGAATCTTCATTCTATAACAGACTGCTGTTTTCATTTTGAGAAATATGGAGAGGAGGGAGAAACTTGAGTTCACTGACATTTTCTTGTTTTGAATTCTTCTGTCTTTTCAACTTAAAAAGCTCAAGATAATGTGAATCTCTTAATTCAATTTCATTTTTAATACTGTCCAAGCACTTTAGCTGTATGTACCCTCATCAGGAAAGATTATTCTCTTGTACTATTTACTTACTCTTCTTCATTCTTTATATGGGGAACAGTTTCAGCTGCCCTTCAGTAACTCTCTGTCTCACTGAAAATTTACTTTTGCACAAAGGTAACTTTCTAAAAGTGTCATTTCATCACAACAGATTAACATGATTCTGTAAGCTCCTTTTACATCACCTGGCATTTACTTTAGTCTCAATTTATGAGTTCTCATGAAACTTGCCTTGTATACTTACTTTTTTGTCCAAAATAGAATATAATTCAATTTCCATATTTTTTTAGTGGATAGGTTACTATACTCTAACCTGCCACATACTGTGGCAAAAACTAAAAGCTAGTGATGTAGGAAAAATACTATTAAGCTATAAATAGGAGAAATTTGAGGCTCAACTAAATTCTTAGTAGAGCTTTACAGGAAAAAAAGTTCTGACATTCTGAATTTTTATCAGAAGACAAAATTGACAGCAGGTGTGTGTGTGTGTGTGTGTGTGTGTGTGTGGTGTGCGCTCACACACACAGGTGCACACATGTGCTTTGATTTAAATATTTATAAGATCTACTTATAAAAATAAAACATCACAACTGGATTTATTCTTCATTTGTTCTAAAAATTCTGGTTATTCATTGCAGTAAGTTATATGATAATTATTTTATATTATTTTACAGTATAAATCAAAAGACAAAATTATGACTGAAACTTGTCAGGTATTGGTTGAAGTGCACTTTGGGAAAAATATAATTGTACAAATTTACAGAATGTCTAGTTCAAAAATAAAATGCAAAACAAGTAAAGGAAAACAGTGAAGTTCTTTAAAATTTTTTACATTGTCCTTCAATTTTTAAAGCACATTGTAGTCTTGCATTTTGTGGACATGCATAAAACTGTCACCACCAACACCACGATTACTGCTCCCCAACCTGTCATCACCAAGAAAGAAATTCTAATCTGAGTAGACAGACTCTAGAGCACTGATAGAACAATGTGACTGAGGAGACAGCCACTGTGAGTACAAAGCGTCCCACATGATTCCTTTTTATGTATGTACAGTAAGTGAAGAGTAGGCTGAGCTCTCCCAAGTTTGCTAAATCTGAAATGGATTTATGATGTACCTTCCTTAGTTCCTGATCTGAATCACAGATTTCCAACTCATTTTACCAGAAATGCCACAATGGGGTTCAGAAGACAAACCTAGCTAATATTGCAGTGTATCACATCTTTACCAGTAGTTCTTCTCTGTTATCCCTTCAAGAAACTCTTGGATGGGAGGGTGATTGTGTTACGGGAAAACACTTGAAATTCGTGGTCCCAGTCTTTTTCATGTTGTGGCACACAAAGAAAATTGTAAGTGCTATAATCCCTGGGGAAAATTATAGGGACGAGAATGCCTGTATGGAGTTTTGTTAGAGAAAAAGAAAACTCATACTGTCTAAATGTTTAAGAATAAAATATAAAGTATTGGGGGAAAGAGTAAGCATTGTATTTTGTAGAAATATTACATACTGTTCCTCCTTAGAGTTACAAGGACTGGATGTTACTCAATGCACTTACCAGCTGCAGAAGCAGTATTTATAAGTACTTTCCAACATTTTCATAAGAATATTAGGTTGCTTCTATAACCATAGCTTTTCTATTAGGCTTTATGCTTTAAATGACTATCCAAAATTCCCAACCAAGATGTTTCAATCATAATCTTTTCAAAATCTTGTTAGTTTCCATTGATGAGATTTTTTTTCAAACAAGCAGATGATCAGAAACAGTAAAGCTTATCTTTACACTTTTACAAATTTTACAATACTTGAAATTGTCACTAAAAAGAAATGCAATAAAATTTCTTGCAATAAAACTTAAAAATATCTCAAACCCAACCATAAATTTTAAACTAAATATTTCAAAGGAAGAATGAAACTCTGATGTAGTACAGGCATGCATTGTTAAATCAACTGACCTGGACAGCACTAAGTGCAAACATCAGCCACAGGGAATGTAGACAATAAATACATGAAAAGCCACACTTGGGGCACTGCCCTGCCCAGCCACCCCCAGCCCTCTCTCCCGCCGCTGGCCGCACCTTGCGCTGCAATCTGTGCTCCTGAGGCCGCTGGACCACGAACTCCTCTGGCAGCTCCACGGGGCCCTGGTCCGCGATGGGCAGTGGCGCGCTCTGCAGCTGGCTGCTGAAGGAGATGTCTGGGAGGTAGAGCGCCTCCTGGGCTGCGCTCGGCGTGTCGCAAGGAAGCAGCAAGGGCCGGATGTCTCTCATTGTGCTTGCCACCTGCGGGGACCGCAGGGCGCACCATCAGACCCTGCTCAGCTCAGGCCGGCCTCAGGGGAGCCCTGGTACAGGCCATTCCCAACGCAGCCCTTGGCTGCAGGCTACAGGCTCAGGGCTCCAGCCACCCCAGGCCACCTTAAGACAACCCTGGAACTGAGCAGCCCGCATCTTGGGCCTCTCAAGTAAAACCACTCTAGCTAAACACGATCCCAATTAAGCCAAAAAATTCATCCTGATCCCTAGCAGAATTTAGAAATTAAATATAATTACTAAAAGTAGAATAATCTAACTACCTGAAAAAATATAGATTTTTTTTACATTTTTTAGAGATTCACAATATTCTGACATAAACTGTAGGCACTAATATCTATACAAGTGTAAATAAAAGTAGTGGTCACTGAGCTCCAATTTTACACACACACATACACACACACACACACACACACGAAAAAACAACCCTTGACAAAGTAATTAGTGAAGAAAGTTTCAGAAAGTTTTTTGTTTATTTTGATTTGTTTGATGGACAATTACATTTATATGGATTGTTTTATATTTATTTATATGTTTTCAGGTCAGAGCGCTAACATTTTTTGATATTATATTAAGAGCTGTGATGGACATTAATAGGATATACATACATTTTGCCAATTATATACACGGTGATTTTACTGACAAATGGTACATATTACATAAATCATAAATATGGAAGACAAAGACAATGAGAAAATAAAACTGTACACATGATTTTTTCAATAGACAAAACAGTAATATATTATATGCTGTGAAAAATAAAGGTACTCAAGTATAGTTTTTTTTCCTGGTATATTCATACATGAGATACATATTCATCTGCACTAAGTATATTTAGTTTACTAAGAAGGATGTTAATAAAAATTTCCCTGCCAATAGAAAGTAAAGATTTTACAAAAAAAAAATTTCTCTATATAAATATTTAAACATATTATAGCATGCATGTTTAAAACATTTTGACAATGCCATATAGCTAATATTCAACAGTCAGGGGAAAAGTAAGAAAATTAATAACGTAAGAGAATTTTATGACTATCATTCTAAGACAAGTTTACACAGTGGTGATATAATGTCTTCATATATAATATTTACAAATTAAGAATAAAAATCATAGCCCCCAAATCATGTGAAAGGGTAGCCGCCCCCCCCCTTACAGAAAAAATAAGATCACTAAGAAATTTGTTAAATGGTCCACCTATGATGGAAAAATTTTAAATTTAAGCCTGAGATACTGCCCTGGAACAACTCTTTAAATTTAAATTCATCACAACATATGACTACTAAAATATCTACACAAAGGTAATCAGAATGCCATTTAACAGCCTGCAGAAATGGAAAAGGTATCAAAGAAGGAAATAAGTGTGAAGAGCAAAAAGGTGAAAATCAAAATCTCCAATTACCTTCTTTAAATGTTTCAGTCTAGTGACATATTTTCTCATTTTTTTGACTTTTAAACTGTCCTTCTCCTCTCTGCTCAAAGTGACAATATGACTAATTTTAAGATATTTTTCCATGAATACTTACAGGCATGTTTTCCCTAACATCTTTATAACTACTCTATAAAAGGAAATTAACAAAAGCGTATGAGATGTGTTATGATACAAGCTTCAAAGATATTATCCTCAGCCAAATTAGCATGCAGGCATTTTTGGAATGACAGAGCATATCTTATTTGTTCCCTCATTCAAAAAATACTTACTGAATTCCCATCAGGTGTCAATTGCTCTTCCAGGTGCTAAAGGTTGATGGAAAAAATAGACTATGTATCTACTTAAATCCATATGGTAAGGGTAGTAAAGAATACACAAAGAGATAATATGGAATAAATAAGAAAAATATCCCATATAGATCTGTGTAATCTACAGAAAATTTAAATTGAGTAAAATATAAAGGCTACTTTATTTGGAGTTTTAAGGAAGAGATATATGGAGTAAAACTTGAACTGAGATTTTTAGCGAAATATGAACTTGCTAGTCCTGCAAAAATCATGAGTAAAGTTCTCCATGCTGGAAAGCCATTGGTTTGTTCAAGAAGAAAGAGGAGAGTACAATAAGAAAGACACAGAAGGAACACTGGTCTTCACTGAAATAGAGATCAAAGGTCTCTAGGAAAGGTCAGTTTCTAAAGTAGGCAGAGAATAATGAAGATTAAAATGCACATGTAACAGAATGAAGCATCAGCTAGATACAGTGTATCTAATAGAAAGAATCTCAGCATAAACAGGCAAGGAAAACATGCTTCAAACAGAACCAGATAGCAAGCTCTCAGACTTAAGAAAAAGCAGATTTGAATCACAGAAGTAAATGACTTCATGGGAGGAGACAGAAGAAAACAAAATACCAAGAGGTTAAGTGAAAGTGACTCTTAAGTTGAAGGATACCAGACTCTGACGTATTTTATGAAACTGAGGTATTTTATGTATGTACACTTCATACTCATTTAAATTTACCATCTCTATAAAAACAATCCAAAGTCACTAATCAATGGCAGAAAACAGGAATGAATGTTATACTGCTCACATGGAGAAGGGTTATTAGAACACAGTCCAAAAATTTTACCTATTATTTTTTAAAAGTCTTGTATATACTACACTTAAGATATTGTGCCGGGTGCCAGTGGCTCAAAACTGTAATCCTAGCTACTTAGGAGGCAGAGATAGGAGGATCATGGTTCAAAGCCAGTCCAGTCAAATAAGTTCATGAGATCCTACCTCGAAAATACCTAACATAAAAAGGGCCGGTAGAGTGGCTGAAAGTGCGTGCACTGAGTTCAAGCCCCAGTACCACAAAAAAAAAAAAAATTATGTAACTTCTAGGGATACATTTATTTGCATTAGAAATATAAATTCAACTTACCTTCATAAAGCTATTAAAAATAAGTCTTCAAAATAAATATCACAGTTAAATGTCTGGTCTTCCACTAGAAGCTTGGAATTTTATAGCCAGCAAGACATTCCTTCAACTCACATGCTAGTAATAACCCCTATCTCATTCTTGCTAAAAATCTCCCAACCTTCAATGTGAAGAATCCATGGCTCTAATACTGTGCTTGGGGCATGACAGTACTTGAAGCAGCAAGATTCCTCATGTCCATTACGGTGGTATCTATACCCTGACATTTTTCACCCACATGTATAAATTCTATACGAGCTATAAGAACAAATCCCACATGCATAAATTCTATGAGCTATAAGAACAAATCAAGTTATACCTTGAGGGTACTTCTCTTTGGATATTTGAAGACATCCTTCACATCCTAGATGTCCCTTTTCTTCTCAGGACCCTTACTATTTTTTTCCAAAATAATGATGAAAAATATCCCCAATGTGTTGCAGCAATAACATGGGAGATTGGAGGCAGTCTATTTGCTCATCTCCTTTTGAGACCATAGTTTCAAACTCTCTTACATGAAATTTTATATGTCTCAAAGGAAATTGTGATTCTAGACAAGGAAGTGATTATTGGGACAGTGCATTCTGTTCTTTCTTTGTATCATTCTTTAAAGAAGGAGAAATTTACTTTTTCAGAAAATTGCTTATCTGGGGCTAGAGGTGTGGCTCAAGTGGTAGAGAACCTGCCCAGCAAACACAAAGCCCTGAATTCAAATATCAGTATGGCCAAAAAATTTGCATATTTGATCAGGAATCATTTGGATAAAATGGGGTATGTGATATTGTTTTAGGGTTTGAATTACTTTAATCATAGATAATATTTAGTACTCATTGAACAAGCCATACTTGTTATCATTATATATCTTCTATATATTCTACACAATCACCTCATATTCAGATGTTTTTATAATTTAAATTCTTTGATTCTGCTTTGCTAGTAGATGAGTCTGAAATATGAAAATTATTATTTTACAGCCTACTGAAGTGATTGAATTATTTATCCTAGGTTGGTGTATAGTCTCCCACACGTACAAAAAGACATCAAAATCTAAAAGTTTCAGAATGTTGGACATAAGGCAAGAAAAAATAAGTATTAAAGAAATAAGATATTTTTTAAGTTACTACCAGAATTCTCATATTTTGTGTGGAATATATAATTGAAATAAACAACAAATCTAGGCATGATGCATGTCAGTAATCCCAGGGAGACTGAGGCAAGAGGATTTGCCAGGTCAGTCTGGGCTACATAGCAGGAACCTGACTCAAAAAAGAATTTTATATATATACATATATATATATATATAATTTCTTTATATATATGTATATAAAATTTCTTTATATATATAAAATTTCTTTATATATATGTATATATATTACATATATGTATAATATATATATAATTTCTTTATATATATGTATAGATATACATACATATATAAAGAATTGAAGGAAATAAGATACCAAAAATATCAGAACTCAATGGTAAATACTTTCAGAAATCAATACTGATAAACAAGAAAAATTTTTTAAAGTAAACATTTCGAAACAACTTCAGTTATTTCTCTTTTCTTGGATGAGTAGCTATGTAATTCAGTTATTTGAATTACAAGATTCTTCCTCTAAAAACATATTGAACATTCAACAGCAAGCATGGAATCTAAATGAAACAATGGGCTACAAAAGAAATGATAACTTGGAGTGTTTATCAGCATCCCACACATCCCACTGATTTAGTTTTCATAAACAATAGATACTTCTTATGTCATTTATCTTTGAGTTCTTATATTTAATCATGCATTTTTGTTAGTTATGAGTCTTACAGAGTTTATAATGTATGCTAATATAATTATGATCCTAACTTACATATTTAACTTTGCCTCTCCCTACTATCTCTTGGATTAAAACATGCTTATCCTCTAATCCTTTGTTCAAATTATCCTTTCCAGTAGGAAATCCTTTCCCTACTGTTGAGACTTCATATATCCCACTATTTTCTTGTATCACTCTTCTCACAATTTTTCCAAACTGTTCACTCTCTCTATAAAAGCATCATTCAATTTCACAATGTTCTCTTTCCATT